TGCAGAAAGGCCATTTCACACGTCTCTGCCCGAGCCGCCTCCGCGACGATGGAACCAGTGCGCAAGCACGACTGTGACACATAGTGACCTGCCGGCGAAGCGGTGCTGCGGGTCGCACGCATGCAGCAACGCCATCTGAGTCGTTCTCGCAGCTCCAGACCAGATCCTACCGCATCATCCTGGTACTGGTAATAGAACGTGTCATATTTTGTAGCTATTACGTCTAGCCTTGGATATCGGGCTCGAGGCGCCAGAGGTAGACGCGACCGTCGGCGTGGCCTGCGTAGACGCGCTTGGCGTCCTTGGAGAGCACGACGCTGGTCACGCGAGGCCCGGTGGCGCCACAAATGCACTTCAGCATGCTTGGGCCGAGCCCGTAGGACCAGAGGCGCACGGTGCCATCGACGTGCCCCGTGACGAGCAGTGTCTCGACCGACCACGCAGCTGCGTCATGGCTGCTTACGCAGAGCGCCGAAATGGCCACCGACGTCTCTCCCGACGCGTAGACGTCGCCGTTGACGTCACCGACGTACCACGTATGAGCGGTTGCCACGACCACGTCGCCGACAATGTCGTGGATCGCAACGGCCACGATCGGTGTTGGCGCCGACAGTACTTTGCGGACGACGACAAGGCGGTTGAGGTCCCACACAAGCACGTGGCCGGACGAGCAGCCCGAGAGCAGGATCGAGTAGGCGCGAGAGACGGCGGCGGCCGTGATGCGGCTCCCATGCTGCGGCGCGGCGAGCGTCGAGTGGAGAGACATTGCCGCGCCCGTCCGAGTCAAATGCACTTTGGCCTTGAAGAACCACACATGCAAAATCGGTGCGCGCGCGTCGATCGTGACGATCGTGCGGCCGTCGGCCGTGGCGACAGCGCCGGACGCGCTCAAGTCGGGCAGCTCGAGCGTCGTCAACAGTCGCGTGTCGCCGTTGTCACCCATCGAAAAGAAGCGCAGCGCGCGGTCACGGCAGCGCCACGCGAGAAACTTGACGTCGGACGAGAGGAGAGCGTCGGCGGGCGGCGGCAGCAACAGGCAGTCGCTTGGCACGACCACAACGCGGGCGCCCCGGAGTCCGACGCTGTACGAGCTCTCGCTGGTGGCGTCGTTGTTGTCGCGAAACGACTCGACAAGCGCGTTGTAGCTCGATTCGCGCTTGAGCTCGGGCTGCAAGCTCGGCTTGACGTCCGTGAGGTTGGGCCATGACAATGACGTGGGTAGCGTCGGTGCGTCCGACGGCGACGGCGACTGCTCGGGCGTCGTGTTGCCCAGCACGCTTCGGTTCAAAAACGTGCGCTGCATGCGCGTGCGGAAGATAGACTTGTCCTTCTCACGCGGCGGGTGCGGCAGCTTGAAGAGTTGCGACGGCGTTTGTCCAAACTCGTTGATTTGGTCGAGGTACGCGGCCCGAAGCGCCGGGTCCCCGATCGTCTCAAGGTCCAGCGCGCCTTCGTACGTCAAGTGGTAAAACACATTGCAGGCCTCGACGGCTGGCGGGCCTTGCTGCTTGTAGCCAAAGATCAAGTCGATCCAGTGGTGCAGCATCGACGAGACGTACGGACTCTCGAGCGCCGCGCGGTTCACGCGCACAAACTCGGCGGCCGACCCGTGCGCCCACGGCGGCAGTGTCACCGCGCTCAGCTGCACGCCGCTCTGGTCGCGGCCAAAGTCAATCTTGTTGCGGTTCTCGAGAAACGACGGCAGGTAAAAGAACTCGGGGATGAGCTCCTTGACGTCCTGCGTGTTGCTGCTCTGGTGCTTGCTCGGCGAACACCCCGACGCGGACGCATACGCGCTCGGGATGCTGGCAAAGAGTCGGTCCGCGTGGTCAAAGCGCCCGCCTTGGAGCTGCTGGATGCCGCGCGTAAACGGCTCGAGTCGCATGAGGTAGTGCAGCACGATGCCCGACGACGAGTAGTGAGTGCCATAGTGGAACGCCGGCACGTCGCCGTCTTCAAGCGACTCGTACCGCGTTCGAAACTCGTCCTCTCTACATCGGTGCATCAACATCAGACCATCCATAGCCTCCAGCGTTTGTACCGGTACAGAGCGCCCATGGGCTTGGTCAAGTCACGGTACACGCTGGGGTCCGAGAGGTCGATTGTGGCCGAGGTATAGTCGCTGAGAATCCACGGAAACACCTATGTATACAATTGTGATAGGACAAAAGACGCCAAACCATGTACCGGGTACTGTGTCAAGTCGTTGTACGACCGCCCCGCCAGTGTGTTGAGGTGCATGAGGTACTCGAAGTTCGTCACGTCGCCATGCACCCAGCGCTCGAGGAGCGAGTTGCCGAGGAGTTTGGTCAAGAGCTCGCTGCTCGTCGCGTTGCGGTCGAGGCCGCTTGCAGCGCCTTTGACGTTCGGGCACTTGGCACAAATGAGCGCAAAGACTCGCTCCCGCTGGTGGCCCGACCCAAAAGCAATCTACAAATGACTCGGAAGAAGCGTGGAAAACTCAGGAGACTGTACGAGGTAGTTGCGACCGTCGTTGGCGAAGAGCTCGATGGCCACGTGCTGCAACAGGTACCGGCGCTTGTGCAGCTCGAGAATGTCGTCGTACGACCAGAAACGGCACTCGTGGCTGCCTCCGGTCGCGACAACCTTGCGCTTCGAGTGGTCGTCCGTGCGCAAGTGATCCACGAGGTACACGTGCTGCGTCCCGAGGAGGAGCACGCTCGGACACTTGTCCATACCATCCACGCGCTGGCAGTCTTGAATGTCCTCGCTGACGTCGTCGCCGGGCAAGAGCAGCGGACGCAACTTGGCGTCGAGCGCCGAATCGTCGCGCTGAACCCACTTGTGCCACCCAAGGTCGTCGTCGTCATTGTCATCTGCGGCGTCGTCGCCGTCATACACAAGCGACGCTGCGCTCTGAAGGCGGGTCTGCTTGGGCGACACGGGGCGCCGTGGCACGTCGAGCCCCACAACTAGACAAGATGCCCATCAGCGAAAACAACATCAGAGACTCCATACAACGCACCGAGAACACGTCCGAGATCACTGCACGAGTAGGCCCGTCGGTGCCGCACGATGCGGTGCCTTGGCGGCGGCGGTGGCAGCGCAAGCAAGCGCTTCCGCATGCGGTACGTGCCTTCGGTGCGATCGAGGTACCACTGGGTTGGTACCGGCGCTTTCCTCAAAGCCGATGCGCGCAGAAAGAGGTTGGTGTGTTGATGAGCGTCGTCGTGACCGCCCGCAACCACAGTCGCAGCCTTGGCAAACTGCCGCTTCCGAAAGAGATCGCGGTCCTTCGAGTCGGCTTGGGACCGCGCTTGGCGCTGGATCTCGCGCCGACAAGCATCGTGGAGCTCCAGCGCTTGCTCCTTGCACTTTATGTGAAGGAAGGCCATGTCGTCGACGGGCTTGCGCTTCTCGGCAAAGTAGTTCGTCCACTCCTTGCTCACGTCCTTGCGCGTGCGCTCGACCCAAAGCACATAGCTCGCGTCCAAGCTCGCCTCGAGCTGCTTCATGGGGGGTCCCACAAGCTGCAGCCACTTGAGAAACTCGTCTTGCGGTGACGTCAGCAGCATATCAAACCCGTTCTTGACGAGGTTGACCGCATACCCCGCATTGTTGGGCACTTTGAGCGTCACGGTCAGCATCTCCGAGAGAAGGCTCTTTTGAAAGTAGAGCAAATCGATCCAGAGCGCGATCGACGCGTCGCGGAGCTCGGTGCTATTTGGTTCTGGTACAAGGAGCCCCTGCAGGAGGTGGCGGCAGAGGCACCGGAAAAATGCCTTGTCGCCGTTGCGCGACCCGAGAATGACCTCGCGCTGGCGGTGCAGTCGCTGCAAGAGCGCAAGGACACTCTCTGCAGTTTGCACCGCGAGCACGTGGAGGATGATGCCGTTGAGACTCGCAAACATGGCTTCCATGAACGGGTCCGTCTCGAACGCCGTGCGCGAGAGGTTGACGCCGATCGTACCGAGAAATTGCCGCAGCTGGCGCTTCTTCTTGTCCTGCGACGGCGGCTGGAACGACGCCTTGGACGCGCTCGTGCCGACGGGGGTCTCGCAGATGAGATATAGCACCAAGTCCATGAGCGCACTCGGTCCATTGGTACAAAACGTCGGACCGCACGAGGCTGGTACGCCCGGCTGCGCCGTCTGCCAGCACTGGACCCGGGAGAGCGCGAGAAGACAGAGCCCGCCAATGTTGTCGATGATGCAAACCGAGCCCGGAAGCCAAAATTCTTGAGTCGACAGCTTGTCCTTGACGCGCTTGAGCATCATGACAAGGAGAAGGCTTTGCAACTCGGCAAATGTTGCGTCCGAGAGGCTGCCGGGGTTGCTACCCGCGACCACACTGCGCGCCACGTTCAGTCCCGTGAGCGTTGACACACAGAGCATCGTGAGCGACTCGACAAGCAGATCCAAAGCCGCCGCCGCCACGGGGTGCGCAAACGACGTTGACGAGTGCGTCGTCACAACCGCGGCGATGAGCGCCGTCAAGTCGCGGTGCAGCGACGTGTCAACGACGTCCGCAAACGCCGGCATGGTCTCGTAGAGATACCGGAGGAACCGGAGCACTTCCAAATGCAAAATATCGGGTTCAGCGCCTTCCAACGCGAGACCACCGTACGCGCGACGGACGACAGCGAGGAGCACGGCCGCCATGTTGTGGTTCTTGACGACGTTGGACGCAATGTTGGGCGCAAAATCGTGCGTCAAGTGCGCGACATTGAGCACGATGCGGTCGACCTTGTGCGGCCAGCCGTCCACGGGCGGCCCCAGGAGAAGGCAAAAGAGCGAAAAGTACATGGCTTCGAACGGAAACCCCGCGTGGTCCGACGCCGGCAGCGCCGACGCCAGCACCTTGTACAAGCCCTTGTGCTGGAAGCTCACTTCGTAGCTTTTGTGGGTGAGGAGCACGCCGAGGAGCTGCAGGCCCAAAAGCACCGTGTTGGGGCTCGCAGCGACAAGCGGCAGCTGGGGCAGCTGGGACGGGTACAAGAAGAGACCGAGCCACGCCGGCGTCAGCCATTTGCGGGCGCCATGAATCTTGGGCCGGGGTAGCATCGTCGGCGCTTGGCTCCCACTGCTCGTCGGCGAGGCGTCGGCGGCCTGGAGCTTGGCGAGTTTCACGTCTTGCTTTTGCACTGCCTTGATGATCATATTCAGCAAGAGCTCACGGAGGTGCGCTTGGCGGTGCAGCGCACGGTCGGGCACGGTCGCAATGACGTCGCGCGACCGCCCCCGTGGACTCAAGCCCCACTGCGCGAGCTGCTTGGGTACCGAGGCTACCGCGGTGTCGTGTGTGACGAATCGAAAGTTGGACGACATGAGCGACGCAAGGAAGAGCGACACGTCGACGTAGTTGGCATCGGTCGCGAGCGTGTCGAGGCAGACAAGAACAAGGTCGGCCACGACCGAGGCGAGCTCGAGACAGAGATTCCCGAGGAGGAAGACGTCGAGGAGCTGTCGTACGATGTTGATGCTCTGGAGCTTCTTCTTGTCGACACTTGTCGCGATCAAGAGCAGCTGGTACAAGGTCGCGCAGAGCGTGCGTTGCACATTCGCCGACGTCGGCAGCCAAATGGAAAAATCGAGGATCCAGTGCTGCAGCGCCGCGCAGTTGAAGAGGTCGCCTTGCACAATGCAAAACAGCGTCGCGAGCGCTTTCGATGAGAGCAAGCGGCTTTTCTGGCGCAAGAGATAATTCACAATCTCGTAGCCCGACTCGCGCTCGACGCCCGCCAAGTGCACGCGCTGGCCGCGAGTGAGTGCAAGAAGCAGCTGGAGGCTTGTGTCGACGCCTTCGACCGTCCGCGCGTGCTCGAGCAGCACGTACGCGAGCTTGGCACCGGCGCCACAGAGCTGAAGGGCGGCCTGCGGTAGCAAGGTCGGGTCTATTGCTGTGGCGCCACCCGATCCGTGTGCCTGCGGCAGACCTTGTCGGCTCGTATTACATAGGGTCACTTCGCCCACTGTATTGCGGGGCGAGTAGGTAAACAAGATCTTATCGGCGCTGATGAGAACCGAGTGCGTCGGAAGCGCTGCAGGTGCAACTACAACCGTTTACGTTACGATTGTACAAGGATATGTATCATGCACCTGGTCGGTGTAGTAGGGACTGCCCCACGGTCGACGCCACAACATCAAGGAACGTGGAGGCGGACGAGACAGCACCCCCATCGAGCGCCACAGGCAGCGTTCCGTTGCCATCTGCGCCAAAGAAGAGCTGGTCGTACTGCGGTCCGGTGGCGTAGAGAGCGGCAATTGTCCCGGGCGAGAGCGGCTCTTCGATGACGTACGTCGGGCCGAGGCACCACTTGCCTTTGGACGGCCGGCGTGTCGCGCTTGGGACGCCAAAGAAACCAGAAAATGGCGACGGCGACGCGACCGGAAACGAGAGCTTTGTGGTTTCCTGGACGCTGCCTTGGACGTAGAGCGAGACGGCCGAGCCCGACTGGAACTGGAATCGCTGGTGTGTGTGCACGAGCGCAATGTGATACCAGCGCTTCTCCAGCAGCGGCGGGTGCTGGAACGGCGTCGGGTGCTTACTTGCCTGCGTCTTCATAAAGAGCTACGCACCGTTCAACCCCCTTCTTCAAGCGGCCGTAAATACCTTGGTGCCTTTGAGGAAGACGTCGACCACCGAGCGCCCATCGGCCGACCGAAGACTCCAGAGGTACAGCGACGGCGCGTTGCAGACGACGCACGCGCCGCCAAAGTCGGTGAGGCGCTGGACACAGGCGCGACACGCGACGTGCGAGCACTTGAGCGGCACGGGCGACGTGTACACGACCCGACACATGATGCACGTGTCGCGCTGTGTGAGCTGGTGGTACAACGCTTCCACGACGCTGTGGGCTTCGCACGCCTCGGAAATGTACACCCAGCTCGAGAGCGTGTAGCCTTCTTGGGGCGGCCATACGACGCCTGGGGGGACATCGACAGTGTACTGTGCATACCCGTCGCGGTCGAGGTGCAGCTCGAGCCGAGGGAGGTTTGTGGTCGTGCTCAGTAGGTCGTCGTCGCACGGATACGTGGCGAGCAGCCGCGGCAGCAGCGACGGACACGCATCCGACAAGATGCACTCGACCCACGTTCGCAGATCCCGCGGCCCGAGCCGCACTTGCGCCATGTGCACCAGCAGCTCGCCCAGTGGCCGGAATGCATCGCTCGTCGTTGGAAAATGCGCGCGCAACATCGCCTCCAGCGCTCCGGCGTCCACGAGGCGGGCGATGTTTGCCGACCTACACCGCTACGGTCGAACACTGTTCGTATGCGATCGCGTGTACGTACGAGCCCGTCACGGCGTGGAGATAGCCCACGAGCTGGTCGATCACGTCGTCCTTCAGGTGGGAGGACCACACTTGCAGGAGCTGGAGCAGTCCGACAATGGCTTCTGGGTGGACAAGACACAGTGTGCGATGGCTCGTGGATGATTGCAGCGTTGCGGGCACAACGTCGACAGCGAGCGCCGCCACGTACCAGCAAACGTGCGTGGCCAGAGCCGCTTGGTCGACCAAAGGCGTCGACGCGACCATCGCGACAAGAAGGCGTCCGTGAAACGACAGTGGAATGCGTCTACAGAGCACATGAAGAGGACATGACACGCCACCGTCGATGGCGCAAATGTACCGGTGCACGCCGTCGCGAAACACATCGCTTTGGAGACTGCACGTTTGCACGAGGCAAAACAGCGCATCGACAACGTGGACGGCGAGGGGCGGCTCGGTCGGCGGCGACCGGCTCAGCACCAAAAGCACAGCAGCAAAGACGACATCTGCCTCGCACGCAAGCAGCATCGCTGCCAGTGCCGTGACGGCCTCGGGCGTCGGCAGTGGTGATATCAGGTGCTCCGTCACATGCGCAAAGCCCCACGGTCGCAACCCCGCGCTAGATGAGCTTTGCAGCGTCGCCAAATACGTCAACAGCAGCACGACGAGGTGCCAGTCGGGTGACGATGACACCAGCGTTTTGCGAATGGCTTGAAGACCCCAGTTGATCGCGTCATTGGTAAAGACGGCCGTTGGCTGCGTCTCCACGGTCGACCGGACGAGGGTCGCCCACAAACACACACAGGGCTATCAACAGCACTCAGACTCCACGAGAAACCGAGACGAAGCACGTACGTGTCGATGGGCGGGGACAAAGATCCACGTTGACATGGCGTCGAGGAGGTCCCGTGTCCAGAAGCCCGCGTTCTGCGCCATCGATGCCGAGAGGAGCTCGAACATCAATGGCACGTTGTGATCATTGGCAACGATCGACGCGCCGACGTCACTCAATACGTCGTTGTCGTCCTCGGTCGCCAAGAGCTCGGTATGCGAGACCAAAATGCCATCAAGCGCAGCTGCCGTGCACTCGGTCGTAAGGCCATCGCCCGTGGGCCATGCGTACCGGAACGCTGCCGTCGCATCTTCGACAAACATGTGGTACAGCGTCTCGGTGAGCCGCAGTGTGCGCAGTACGTCGAGGTAGTCGGCATGGAAGCGCACAAGGTTGGCGAGCAGCACGAGCAGCATGTGCACGCTGGCATACGAGAACGTGCGCTACGCCATTTCTCAGCACCATGTACATTGCTCGCATGGAAGACTACCATGTCGAGGAGGAGCTGCATGCGCCGCAGCTCGAGCATCGGAACGACACCGGCCTCGATGGCCACCGAGCTGATCACCGACCCGATTGCGAGCTTGACGACGTCAGAAAGCTCTTCAAGTCGCTGCAAAAAGCTCTCGAGAAGCCCGACTTCCTACATCAGGATCGAGCCATGGTGGTGCGGACATGCAGCGATACCGAGGCCACAATGTAGTGGCTTGCGTCTTGCGAGAGGACGTGCCCGATGGTGTGGACGAGCTGGCACTGCACAAGTTCTTGGTACGACGCCGTTGACATCGACGCTGCGAGCGGCTCTTGGAGGCGGTAGATGAGCTTGGCGAGCATGTCGAGGACTGCAGCGTTGCACGTGCACATGAGGCGAGGGCGGGGCGTCGGCTTGAGGATCGTGAGCGTCTCCTTGACTTTGGACGTGTACTGCGACCCAGGCGTCTCATTCCCCGATGCCAAAAGCTCTTGGAGACTTTGGATCAAGTCGAACGTACGCTCCATCGACGCTGCATTGGCTTCGGCGGTCAGCCACGTCACGAGGAACGTCAAGAGCGCGTCGTAGCGACGTCGGCTTTGCAGTTGCGCGTGCAGAAGCGAGAGGTTCTGCTTTGCTGCATACTGAAGGTGCGCGGCGACCACGTGGAGGATCCCGCTGGCATCGCAGGCGTCGAGAACCGCCATTTGCTCGAGCAGAATGAGGAGCACGTCGCGGCTGCGAAGGTGGGCGACGATGCTCTTGGCGTGCGGCCCGGCGATGGCCTTGGGTAGCTGTAGCAGCACCGTGTACAGCACGTTGGCGATTTCCACCGTCGTGCTACACCACTGGTACAAGGGCAAAAGCTGGTCCTTCTCGATAAGGTCGACGACGATCGGCGCGTAAGTGACGAGCACGCGGAGAAGATGGGCCATGCTCTCGATCGCTCGGCCGCGTGCCTTTGCGTCTGTGCGGCTCGACTCGTGCAGCGCAATGTCGAGAGAGGCCACGAGCCGCCGGCCGAGCTTCTCATCAAGGACAAGCAGCGCCGTCGCTTCGTCGCGGACCACGAGGGAGAGCAGCTGCATGGCTTGGAGCGACAGGGAGATGCTTGCGGGAGGCAGACACCACAAGGCGCGTGGAGGCGACGCGGACGTAAACATCGATGGCTTCACCTTGGGCTTCTCGGCGGATTCGATCGTACTGCGAAGCACGCTGGCCACGCGGGTCGAGCAGCGCTTGACCACGTCGGCGGCCTCATTGCGCGTGAGAGGAAAGTGGTCCTGCGACTCGACGAGTGCGAGGAGGGTCGTCACCGCGGCCGCGGTCGACGACTCGGTGTCCAAGTCGCGGATCGCAAGCTTCTTGGAGGAGTCGGCTTCGCTCGCGGAGCTGCGCGCTGGAGAGACCGCGCTCTCAGAGGCGCGGCTTGGAGGCGGCTCCTGCCGCGACGGACTTGTCTTGTCCTTCCGGAACAAGCGGTGCATCGCGCGGTCGCTCGGCCTTGGATCGGGTCCCGAGCTCTGAACCGAACTTAACCGGCTCGATCGAACCGTCCACGGGCGGTTTGTGAAATGCTGTTTCAAACAGAATTTCAAACAGCATTTCGCGATCAAGAAGCAACTTTCATTTGTGCATTCGTTCGGATGCTCACTATGTCGACGGCGGCCTCTTGCATCTCAAACTCAATTCGCAAAGCGCTTTTTGAGACGCGGCAAGAGCACAAAGCCACCCACAGCAACGACAATGAGCTGGATCGTGGTGGCCGTGTCGATAATGTCTCCTTTGGACTGAAGGTGGCTCAGGATCAAGCCCGCCTTGCAGCTGAGAAAGTTGTACGGGATGAGCCCGACGCAGACGGACGGTGCAAACTGCCGCAGCGGAATCGACAAGTGCGGCGACGACATGTTGATGAACCAGTTGGGCGTGAACGGGAAGACGCGGAGGAAGATCATGTAGAGCGTGAGGTCGCTGCGGTGGCCGTCAATCATCGTGTGGAGCTGCTCGAGCTTGGCGGGGAAGTGGCGCCGCACGAGCGCACCGCCAAATTGTCTCGAGAGGCCATACATGAAGCACGACCCGAGTGTGTTGTAGAAGAGGCAGAGCGGAAAGCCCAGCAAGAGGCCAAAGAGGGCACCGCCAAGGAGGTTGACGAAGACGGTGCCGGGGATCGCCCACGTCTGCAAGAACAAGTACGTGAGCGCGTGCGCAAGTAGCAGCCGGCCTGGCGAGTGGTCTGCGTACGTCATGAGCGCATGGCCAAGCTCTTGCGCCACCGACAGCGATGTTGGGAACCGGACAGCGGTACGCTCTTCCGGCGCCAAGTCGTCGACGACGAGGTAGTAGATGGCCGTGACCACCGAGACTAGTGAGACGACAAAGATCACGAGCAGCGAGATGACGTCGCGCCGAATGGTCTCATCATGGAGCTCAAGCACGTCTGCGGTGGGCGCTTCCGCGGCGACGGGCGGTGCGCTCGAGTGGCGCTGGCGCAGGGCGCTCGCTTCAACCATGCGCAACCGGCTTGTGGACGCGTGCCAAAAAACTTATCCACTGCGAAATCCTGCAATATTGATATCTTATTACCTTTCATATTGAATAACCTCTCAAGCATGATAGATACGCAACCTCTAACACGCTAAGAACACGCAACTGCAACTTGCTGACAGACGAGCACGCGGTCTTGCGCGCACGCTCCACGGCGCGACTAGGTCATGCTGCGAGTCGTAGTGACAACAATGTTTACTGCAGCACGACAGCGGTACCCGAGAATCCGTGTTCATCTAGTACTATACAGCAAGACACGGTTAAAAGTTGCGTGTGTCTAGCTAGAGGGTATCGTGGCGTCTTCGGATCAGGACCGAGAAGCGCGCGCTTCGTCGTGCTGATCACAAGAAGACGTCGACGTGAACACGAAGCAGAAGGCTCGAGGCCTTGCGTCCTTGCGGCACCAATGGCACGCGTTGTGGATGTGTTATAACACCACCTGCTGTTACAACGCCGTGCAGAGAGCGCTTCCTCGAATCATCAGCCTGCATGTAGAGGCCAGGAGACGCGCATGGCAGCTGCAAGCGGCCAGTTTGGTTTGGTGTTTGCTGGGGACAGGAGCATGGTCAAGCGGGACGAGCGAACGATCATGACGGCGTGTATTAGCCCCATCAACGTCAAGCACACGTCGATCTTTGACGACAAGAAGGCACCGGACTCGCTCGCGTTCCACCGCAAGGTCGCGCCGCCCGACTCGATCGCCGTGCACCGCAAGCACCAAGCGCCGCCGCCTGACTCGATGGCCAAGTACCAATACACGCCGCCGTCCGAGACGCGCCGTCCACCCGACTCCCTCGCGGGGCACCAACAGGGACGCCCGGCGGCCGCCAGCTACGCCTCGTCCCGGCGGAATTGGCTTTTCGACTACCAATCGACGGCGTCCTCGCAGGCGTATGGAAGTGACGCCCACAGCTTTACGCCAATGAGCGCGTACGACGATGACGACGGCCATCGCATGCCAAAGGCCTATCCCATGTACATGGCGCCCAACTCGACCGACGACATTCGTTTGCACCAGTACCGGTCCAAGCACGTGCGCCTCGACCAGACGCACTCGGCTTCCGACATCCAGCAGCGCTATGCGCTCCTTCGGCGCACTGCAACGTTTGAAGAGAAGCTCTCGACGGCCATGAGTCGCATTCCGCGCGACCTCCGCGGCGCGCCCAAGAAGGCCAATCCTGCGTCCACCAAGCGCGTTCAATTTCTTGACGAATATGTTGTCGATGCGCCACCAACGCGAGGGCGTGTACGCCGGAGCAGCTGCTAACACGAACGCTGAGTTGTATTGTCAAACTGGAGTATCGCAACTGCCTTATGCGGCCATCGCGACCAGAGTGTCGATGATGACGGCCGCCGAGGCCGCGCGGCGGAGGTGCGGCATGTTGACGGCATCGACCGTGGGTGTGTCGTCAACGCGGGTGCCAGCGGTGGTGGAGGATGCCTCGTCCACATGCAGTACCGTCACGTGCGCGTTCGCGGGGTCTTCGAGCCACTCGACCGCACTCGCTTTGTTGGGCCAGACGACTAGCAGAACATTCTTGTTGGGTGTCCAGCCAGCATTCATGCGCGCACGCAAGGAGCTTGCAACTGTGGCGACTGACTCAGCATGCGACGCGTCATCGAGATACGCACCTACACAATAATGAGGTAATTCGTCGGGAAGGACAGGAGAGCGTAGTACCAAGCGCAACGGCCCCACTTGCCGTCGTCTTGGGCGACAATAGGTGGCCGGTGAGGGTCGGTGCTGTCTGGACTTGGATGTCGCACGTCCGGTGCAAGTGCAGTGTGCCGTCTTGGTGTGACGACCGGAGCGACGTCAACGCGGCGGTATCGACGAGGCTGATGTACGCAGGCACGAGGTGGCGGGCACGGGCAGCTCCGAGACTCAAGCGCGGTGCGCCCTTGACAAACGGAGCTCCGGGAGTGATGTCTAGAGCCGCGGTGATTGCGGGGCAAATCACCCGGGAAGAGGTTTCTGTCGTTGTGTGGAAGACAACACCAGTGTAGCCGAGGTCAAAGGCGCGTGCGACGATGGCGCAGTTCACACGGGTGTCAGCGGCCAATTGCGTAACAGCTACCGCTGGCTGTGTGACCGGCGGGAGCTCTCGCCCGTCCACAAACACCATCGTCACGTCAAGATCGACTGATGCCAAGCACGTTGGAGGAGCGAGAGACTCCAAGGCGACTACAAGACCCGAGTGCGATGTCCAGATAGCCTTGTCGTCGACTGTCGCCGACGACAGATAAGAGTACGAGGCCGAAGCCGTGGCCCAGCAGTTGACGTCAAAAGAGCGTTGTACATCGAGGAACGATGGGCTCCTACGTAGCACACTTTGTGAGCTCATCACGTATGCGTGCTGTGGCCGTACGGCAGGCGAACCGAGGCTACTGTGTCGGGTAGACGCAGCGGGACGCTCGACGTCTCGAGCACGCCGACGCCCCAGAGAAAGAAGGCGAGAAGCAAGGCCTTGGCGGCTGTAGCTGTGAGCGCTGGGCGGGCCAGCGCACCGTCGGTTCCCGCGCGGAACGTCCCGTAGAGCATGCTGCGAGCCGCGATTCCAAAGCGAAGATGTTGCGAGATCCGACAACAGACGCCCTCCGCGCACATGCCATTGGACAAAACACAGGATTTATAGCCAATGCAAGCTCATCAAGGTACGAAATCAAGCTGGGTTTGCGCGAATCAGCAAGCATCTTTATATCTCTCGCATTTTAATGATTAGAACATACAAAGTATCTGTTGACATAAAGTTGTATGTTATTTATTGTGGGACGGTTTGTTTATTTTAATTGTATTGTGATTGCATTCTTCAATTCCCGATCCAGGACGCAGAGCTCCGACCCGAGATGGCCGAGCCCATCATGACCCTCCAGGAAGCTGCCTCCAGCATCGCGAAGCTCAACCTGCGTACGCGCGTCTGCATCATGCTCGGAGCGATAGCCGTCACGACGACCCTCTGGTTGCTACCCCGCCCCCTCGTCGACGCAGGGTCGGCGCTGCAGCTCTTGGCGCTCTTCCTCTATGTGGGTTTTAGCGGGGTCCCGACGACCCAAGAAACACTGGTTTCCGATTTCAAAGACATCCAACTCGGTGCTTTCGTCTTCCTCGCGGACGTGGCTATCGTCCTGTCTTCCACGTTCGTCACTCTCTCCATGCTGGCATCTTCCTGCATGACGCGGTGACGATCTAGCATGACAGTGGTCCTATTCTACGTGCTCTTTTCACACCATTCACTCGTTACTATGCTGATGCAGCGCCAAGTTGATGCATCTACCTCAGCGCAGCTTGCCCTACGACAAGGCCATGTCGAGCGACGAAGAGCCAACCGACGACGACGAAGACTAATATCTAACCATTTAACACTACGCATTTCTCTGGACTTGATTCTTCCATCATCGACGAGTCTAAGGAGCAGGATAGAAGTCTAGGACAGGCAATTGCTAACCATTCGCAATGTACTGTTCAAGGTAAGTAGAAAGCGACTTGGCCGACAACGACGAGCTACTGCTGTTGGCGCGCGAGAACCAAGTTTGCGATCTCCAAGCCCAAGTCGACGACCTTCAAGATCTCATATTCGAGCTCGACCAGCAGCTGGAGACGAGTGAAGCGTACACGCGAAGCCTCGAGTCGGACGTCGTCGGGAGCCGCAAAGAAGTGCCCGAGGTGACCTACCGCCGCTGCGACCGTCGCACCTCCGTGTATATCGCCGACATGGCCGGGCCTCGTCCACCTTTGCAAGTGTAACCCTGGACAGCAAACTGTAGGTAGGAAAAGGACAATGTAGACACACAAATGAACGATACTTAATTGAGAAAATGCAAAACTTAAGTATGACCCAAAAGCTTATTGGCAGAGGTCTGCGGCGTCGCTGGCGAGCGCGTCGATCGCGAGGTCGACCTTGTGCAGCGTGATGAG